GGCGAGTGCACAGGGGGCTACACACCTGTCTTTGAACAATAGGTACAAACCTCAGCGGTGATAATCCATTTACCTACAGTACAGCATAAAATACCTCACGCGTAATCTCATTACCACAGTGAACACTGGACAGGAACTGTTGTGTGAACTGAATACACAGTGTAATGTGGTTTAATCAATATAATATCCGCATCTGTGCCTGTAATCTGTGGCAATTGTTTTTACGGGTGTCTTTTATCATTTTAATGCTCTGTAATCACATTACATCTCTAAACACTCGTGTTTATGTAGCCCTGTTCAGGCTTCAGGGGCACCGTGAGCAAACTCCAACATCTGATCTCCAATGTTGAACAAATCTTTCCTTTAAGGAATGACGTGGAACAGCCACGCAGAGGCCAGCTTCAACACACACGCACGCACGCACACACTAATCCAGAAGCAGCGCTTTCTAAACATCTGCCAAGTGTTTTTCTGCATTTCTTTGGATTTGCAGTGCTACCTCACAGAAGGTGAGACAGCAGGGGAAGACAGGTTTACATTTTAGTTCAGTTTTTTCATTAACTTGGTAACAATACCAGAAATTAATGTAATTTTAATGTAAAATCCAAACCTACTAAAGTTAAATGCGATTATATTGCTCCATTAACCAAAAATCACAGAAGAAAGAGCAGCTCCTAAACGTAAAGCAGTTCTTTCTTGGTCCGTACACAACGTGGACATTAACTGTAACATGATACGCTGTGTTTATTTATTCTACGGCTGTGCATTTATTCTAACACAGATCAACAGAGCTGTACTCACTGGCTGAAGGTCTTGTCCAGGAGATTGGTGTCGTTGATTTTCACGATGCACTCGTCTTCCTGAAACAAGCCGTCCTTTCTGGAGCGGCTCTCTTCCTCCACTCCACGGATGTACAGACCAAGAGCCCTGACGGAGAACATGCAAGGACAGAGCGAGAGATTAAAGGACGTTTTCCATGCACAGGTTCACAAACGCACAGAACTTCTTGCATGCAGACAGACGAGTCTCCATATGGTTTACTTTACCACAGTTATGGTCATTTTATCTCCAAGCTCCACTGTGGGTTTCTACTATAACTTACAGTCCTGTGAAAAAGAAAGTTTTCACAGGACTCCCTGTGGTCCTGTGAAAACACCCTGACTACTTCCAAAGGAATGAAGAGGGTAACTGATCATCAGCAAGTGTGAGCACCTCTATAAAAACAGAAGTTTGCTGGTCTGGAGCTTTTAAGCAGGTGCCAACACGATGCCAGGGAGGAAAGATGTAAGCAATGAGCTTATAGATGCAACTGCTGCTGCCCACGAGTCTGACAAGGGTTAGAATGTCATTTCCAAATAATTTGATTATTCATCATTCTGCAGTGAGAAGTGGTAGATATTCAAGACACATGCTAACGTTCAGAGGGCTGAGCATCCCTGAAAATCCACCCCAAGGTCAGACTGTGCTGTTCTCAGAGACATCACAAAAAACCCAACAGCTCCATCTCAGACTCGACAGGCCTCAGTTAGCATGTTAAACATGAAAGTTCATGACAGCATAATTAGGAAAAGACAAGTGTGGCGTTTAGAAGGGTCGCCAGGAGAAAGCACGCAACACGCCAGCACGGTTTGGTTTGCAAAGTTGCAAAGACTCGAGATCAGGCCGAAGAGGAGATGTTTGGCTATAACACAGCACATCAGTGAAGCACAGCAACGATAACAACTGGAGTTTTATACAGAAACAAATCCTGTTTCTCACAAACAAGTCATAAGATC